CAGCAGTAGCAGCAGCAGCAGCATCGGGGTTTGCTTCGTGCTACTGCGCTTTGTGTGGCTGCAGGTCCGACAGCCCCGTTTTGTCCACCCCCTTTATGCATGCAGCCAGACTCACTCATTTTCTCCGGGTTCTAATGCCCCCTCTCTTTCCAACAAGATCCTCGGGGGCCCCCAAAGGCACAGGGCCCCCCAAAGACACAGGGGCCCCCAAAGACTCAGGGGCCCCCAAAGGCACAGGGACCTCCGAAGGCAAAGGGGCCTCCGAAGATACAGGGGCCCCTAAGGATACAGGTGTGGGGGGCCCAAGGGGGCCCCAGGGTACAGGGGCCCCCAAGGAGGCAGGGGCCCCCCAGGAGACGGGGGCCCCCTTGTCCCCGCTAGGGTGCGAGCCGGATGCTGTTATTGAGGTTGAGCCTTTGCGGAAGCTCTGGCTGTCTCCCCCTTCTCGAGTGGGTCTTTTGAATTATTTTCCACAAATGTTTTTATTTATTTCCTCCCATTCATGTCACTTTTCCGCAACTTCTCCGATTCTCTCTTTTCTACTCCGAGAGGCCCCCAGGGGCCCCTCACCAGGCGGCTCCAAGACCCTCCTGGGGCCCCCCTGAGCGCTGCAGGGGCCCCCTTGGGGCCCCCTAGGGCCTCCACGAGGGCCCCAAGGGGGCCCCCCGGGGGCCCTTGGGAGGCCCCAGGGGGCCCGGGGGGCCCCCGTTTTGCTTATTTTTCTGCGTTTTGTTTGTCTTCTGTCGTAGGCCTTTGTTGACGACTCTCCCCCGCGAGCAGAACACCCTGTGGATTTCTTTGAAGTGAGGCTAAAGGACTTTTGCTGCTGCTGCTGCAGCAGCACAAGCGCAGCAGCAGCAGCAGCCGTTGGCTGCTGCTGCTGCTGCTTGAGCTGCAGCAGCAGTTGCCGCTGCTGCGCTTCTGCTGCAGCTGCTGCACTGCAGGGAGTCTGCTGCTGCGCTGCTGCGGCTGCTGCCTGAAGCATACCCCATTTGCATTTCTTTCTGCTTCCCCACAACTTCATTTTATTTGTTTCTTTTTGTCCTTTTGCTGCCAAAATATTTCAAAATTTTTCCTTTTGTTTGTCTCTTTGTCCTCTCCAGTCTCTTTTCAAGCCAGAAGACCTCAAAAACCTCCAAGAGGAATTCGCCAAACACCTGCCCCCGCAGGGGGGCCCCCGGGGGGCCCCCCAAGTTGGGGGGCCCCCGGGGGCCCCCAGCTTTGGGGGCCCCGCACTCAAGATTTTGGGTACTGGATCTGCTGCTCCTTCTCACTACCGCAACGTTTCTGCTGCAGTTCTTTTGCTGACGGAGGGCCTCAGTAAGTTTTGCTGCTCTTTCATTTTTGTTTTCTTTTTGTCTTTTTGTCTTCTTGTCTTTCATTTAATGCTTTGTTTATTCAGTCTTTTGAATTAAAAAGAGCCTCGCTGCGATTTCCCCTCTGTTTCCGTTTTTTTCAACCTTCCGGCCCCTAAACCCTAAACCCTAAACCCTGAGGAGCAGAGGACTAAGGCGGGCAAAGAGGTGCAAAAGAAGCAAAATTGGAAACAAAACAAAAAAAGAACAAACGGAAACAAAGTAGAAAACAAGTGGAGACGCAATTGCTGCTGCTGCTGCTGCTGCTGCTGGGCGCAGGTATTGTTCTTGACTTTGGGGAAGGCTCTCTCTCGCAGCTGCGGGGAGCCACAGAGAGCGAAGAGGAGTTTCTGCAGCTGCTGCTCTCGATCCAGTGCGTCTGCTGCCGCTGTGCTGCTGCCTTGCTGCTGCTTTGCTGCTGCTTGCTTCTGCTGTGCTGCTGCCTTGCTGCTGCTTGCTTCTGCTGTGCTGCTGCCTTGCTGCTGTTGCGCTGCTGCTGTGCAGCTGCCTTGCCGCCGTCTTGCTGCTGCTGGAGGGGCGCTCGCTGGGGTTTTGTCGCTGGAACGTCAGCTGCTGCCGTTGCCAGTGGTCCACAAACAGCAGCTGCTACTGCAGCAGTGCTGCAGTTCCTGCTGCAGCAGCTGCTGCTGCTGCTTCCGTGTCTGCGCGCCTGTGGTGATTTTCCATTTGAACGAAAAGTCCCCACACCGCTTCAGGGCTTATGTTTTAGGGTGTAGGAACTGTTAGGGCTTAGGGTTTAGGGTTTAGGGTTTGCAATTCTGCAGGTTCATCTTCGTTTCCCACTGCCACGCGGACCACCACTTGGGGCTCATGTCGCTGTTGCAGTGTCGCGCAGCACTTTGGCCCGACGCCAGGCCCCCACTGCTGATTGCTCCAGCTCGCTTACAGGTGCTGCTGCTGCTGCTGCAGCTTTTGCTATAGCTGCCGCAGTTGCTGCTGCTTCTGTTGCAGCTTTTTCTCTATATGCTGCAGTTGCTGCTGCTGCTGACCTGCGTTTATGCTTGGCTCGTGAGGTGTGCCGGCCTAGAGCTTTGCCGGTTGGAGGACCTTTTGCTGCTGTTTACTGTTTGAATCTCTAGGGTTTAGGGTTTAGGGTTTAGGGTTTGGGGTTTATTTTTGCAGGAGTGGTTTGAGTTTCTGGACCGGGAGATCGCACGAATGCCCCATTTGTTTGTTTGCTGCGAGTCTCTCGTTTGCAACTTAGACGAAAAGTTTAGTGTTGAACATCTGCAGCCAGCAGCAGCAATGGCTTGGACTGGAGAAGCCCAGAAGATGCAACTGAGAATCGTGCCGGTCTGCTGCTGCTGCTGCTGCTGCTGCAGCTGTTTCTGCTGTTGGCGGGCTGACGCTGGCGCTGCTGTGGCTGGCTCGCTGGTTGTCTCATTTTTTGCTTGGCGGCGATGCTGCTGCTGCAAGTGCTAGCGGCGCTGCTGCTGCTGCTGCCGCAGGCGAGCTGCTGCTGCTGCAAGTGCTGGCGGCGCTGCTGCTGCTGCTGCCGCAGGCGAGCTGCTGCTGCTGCTAGTGCTGCTGCTGCTGTCACTGCGCTGCTGCTGCTGCGGCAGACTGCATGCACTGCGCAGCATGTTTGTGGCTCAGGTGGACCATATCCCCGACTCTTTTGGCCTCCGCGTAGATTTCGAAAAACTCAGTTTTGTTTATTCTGGAGACACGAGGCCTTGCAGTCAGCTCTTTGCCTTGGCGCACAAGTGCACTGTGCTGCTGCACGAAGGTGAGGTCTACGGCAGCAGCAACAGCAAAATAAGCCGCAGCAGCAGCAACTGGCCACCAAACAGCAGCAGAAAAGCCCAGCGAAAAGCACACAGGCCCTAGGGGCCCACTGCAGTAGTAGTTGGGGCCCCCCCGTAGCTGCTGCCTAGGGGCAGCAGGGCTTCAGCGCCCCCCCCTGGGAGCCCCTGGGGCCCCGTGGGGCCCCTTAGGCCATATATATAATTAG